CCCAGGACCCCTCAGTCTCTCAGTGTGAACACTTATAACAGTGTACACGGAGAAAGTGTATCTTTTACAACTGTCGCTTTACTTCAACTGTCGCTTGCAGCCCCTCTTTCAACCCCCCACCTCAAGTAGCTAATCAGAGGAGGGGGACGTTGCCATTCAGGGGGTAGGTACAGCTGTTGTTCCGTCTCGGGTGTTGTGATGTAAGTTCTTGCCTTTTAGAAACTAAACTGGGCATCAGGGGCTGTGGCTGTCCAATCGAGTGAGAGAATTCAAAGACAAATCAGCCAATGGGTGCAAAGGTCTGGGTATATAAGCTAGGGTCTAACACCTGTCAAAGTTGGGCAACCCCTATATTGGCTTTGGTGGATCCCGGGAACGTTACCTCCTTCTTTTCTACTGTGCAGGTAAACCTACTAGGCAGCAAGCTTCTGGAACAGGGTTTTAAGTAGAAATGAGGAGAACTCCTGAAAAACAGCATAAAAAGAAAAGAGGAATTTTAAACAAACACTTTAGGCAATTGAAACCTCTCCGTTGCTGCACTATTTGGAATCCTGAAATCGGTTCTTCTTGTTTTTTGCATTGGACCCCTCTTCAGTTTCTTGCAGTGTTTCCTAAAATGGAAGATATACCATTTTCTTCTTCTTTAACCTTCTTCTTATGCGTTTTTACTCATCATCCTCTTGAGTGCAAACTGTAACTTTGTTTAAAGTTTTGTCGGTAAAAGAGAGCACTGGTTTGAAAACAGCCATGATCATTAACGGCTGTTGTAGAGGAGGGATAGTCACAGGACAGCGGCTGGTTGATTTGTTACCAGTGGTGATCTATAGATGACACCGAGTCATTTTAGATATTTTGCAGAAAAAAACATGCAATGTGAAGTATTGAATTTCTATAATGTCTGCAATTGTTCCTCAGCATGTTTTTAGTTCAGATGTTATTAATCTGAGATCCTATTCATTCTGATATGAAGGTCAGTTGTGCTAATGACCGGAGAATGAATCAAGTCAGTCTCTGGATCTCTCTGGTACCACCTACTGGGGTGTAGCCAGACTAGGCTCCAGTGGTGGTGTTCCCTTGAAGGAATGGAAAGGTGGCTTGCATGCCAGTGTCAGAGTATAGCCACAGCAAGAGTGTGTAGGGTGGATGGCCTGGTCTAAAAATACCTTCTGCTGCCAAGTGCATAAAAGCACGTAGATCACACCCCTGTCACTCTCTGTGGAAACATGAGGTGGTGGCTGGAGGGGGCCAGGAGACTGATTGATAAGACACTAGGAGACTCAGTACTACAAACCATTTGTTGTATTGTTAGGCCATTGCTAGGACAGTTCCTTGATTTTTTTCTGAAAACCCATCATGCTCTCTTTGACAAAATGTTGCTAGGGACCCAGATATTGTTCTCTCACCATTCTGAATTTAGTT